GATGATCTCACTGGTCTGGATTGTGGAGTGTGTGTGTGTGTGTGTGTGTGTGTGTGTGTGTCTTGCCTGTTTCCTGTCAGCTGTCGTTTCTCACATCGGTGCTGAAGGATATCTGATGTGATCGTGTGTTTGGACCACAAGCTGAACACATCTAACTTTATTTAGTCATTTCCTTTAGCAGCGTGTCTTCACGTGTTACAGGGACGAGAACACACTTGGAACAACCAACCAATAATCAGTCAATATCCCAATAACATGTGAGAAGACACATACAGTTTTCTCACATGTTGGGGGATATGCATCTGAGTTGTTTAACACATCTAGATGTGAATACCAGGAAATGAGAGCTGAAATTCTGAACTCTTGTCTCAGACTCATCTTTTGATCTTAAACCCAAATGTCATCAGTGAACAACAAAAACAAAAAGGACTTTGCCTTCCCGTTCCAATACTTTTGGAGGGGACTGTACCTGCTGTGGCCTTAGAGCAGCCTCACAGAGCTGCTAGCATGGCTGCAGACTCTGGAGGATACTACATGTGGAGGGTTGGCAAAGATTTTTTTTCAAAGAACACTTTGCTCTGGGCAGCACTTGAATGTGTGTGTTGGACAGACGTGGGAGTTGCTTCTGAAAACAGGATGAAGCTGAGTGTGTGTGTGTGTGTGTGATTAACGCTGGCTGGCAGGCAAAATGTCACTGTTATACAAGTGTGAGAGAGAGTGTGCGTGATACAGTCATCTGAACAGTACGATGTGAATAAAGAAGATAAACAATCATGAAAATGTCAAGTAGCCTTATTATAAACCTGTTTTTCATCCTTCTACAAGATTTACTCGGTGAAAACCGCTCTCCACCACTTAGCTCCTTTTACTATATCTTCATTCTTAATCTTTTTTTATTCATCCTGGATAAACTCAAATGTCTGTGGAATACGGAAGCCTACAGAAGCGCGTCGCATTCACCAAAGAAAAAGAAATGTAGACAACTTATCTTGTAATTATGAGAAAAGATGTCATAATATCTCCTAATTACAAGATCAGCATGTATACTTATGAGACGACTGGACTGCCACTTACTGGCCACTGCTTTGCACTGCACAGCCACAAAAATGTAAGTTATCAGCTCGATGCTTCCAGTGCAGAGGGTATAAGTAATAACGGACATTTCATTGCTTGAAGTCTTTATAGAAGGTTTACAGGTGCTGGTCATATAATTAGAATATCATCAAAAAGTTGATTTATTTCAGTAATTCCATTAAAAAAGTGAAACTTGGATATTATATTCATTCATTACACACAGACTAATATATTTCAAATGTTTATTTCATTTAATTGTGATGATTAAAACTGACAACTAATGAAAATCCCAAATTCAGTATCTCTGAAAATTAGAATATTACTTAAGACCAATACAAAAACAGGATTTTTAGAAATGTTGGCCAACTGAAATGTATGAACATGAAAAGTATGAGCATGTACGGCACTCAATACTTAGTTGGGGCTCCTTTTGCCTGAATTACTGCAGCAATGCGGCGTGGCATGGAGTCCATCAGTCTGTGGCACTGCTCAGGTGTTATGAGAGCCCAGGTTGCTCTGATAGTGGCCTTCAGCTCTTCTGCATTGTTGGGTCTGGCGTATCGCATCTTCCTCTTCACAATACCCCATAGATTTTCTATAGGGTTAAGGTCAGGTGAGTTTGCTGGCCAATTAAGAACAGGGATACCATGGTCCTTAAACCAGGTACTGGTAGCTTTGGCACTGTGTCCTGTTGGAAAATGAAATCTGCATCTCCATAAAGTTGGTCAGCAGCAGGAAGCATGAAGTGCTCTAAAACTTCCTGGTAGACGGCTGCGTTGACCTTGGACCTCAGAAAACACAGTGGACCAACACCAGCAGATGACATGGCACCCAAACCATCACTGACTGTGGAAACTTTACACTGGACTTCAAGCAACGTGGATTCTGTGCCTCTCCTCTCTTCCTCCAGACTCTGGGACCTTGATTTCCAAAGGAAATGCAAAATTTACTTTCATCAGAGAACATAACTTTGGACCACTCAGCAGCAGTCCAGTCCTTTTTGTCTTTAGCCCAGGCGAGACGCTTCTGACGCTGTGTCTTGTTCAAGAGTGGCTTGACACAAGGAATGCGACAGCTGAAACCCGTGTCCTGCATACGTCTGTGCGTGGTGGTTCTTGAAGCACTGACTCCAGCTGCAGTCCACTCTTTGTGAATCTCCCCCACATTTTTGAATGGGTTTTGTTCCACAATCCTCACAATCTTACTACAATGTTGACAGACTAACATTTATCTTGTAATAACGAGATCCTGATCTTCTAACTAATTATGACATCATTTCTAGTAATTATGAGAAGCTGAGCTCATAAAACGAGATAATGTGTCTACATTTTTTTTTTGGGTGAATGCAATGCGCTTTGTAGAGTCCCATTTCCACCACAAAAAATCCTGTATGTCATTATAATGAGAAACTTTATCAAAATACTGACTTAGTAATTTAAAACAATGAGTTTGTTTCTCTAAATAATGACTTTCTATCTCAAAATACAAAATCTCTTATAATATTGACTTGATAGCACATAATTATGTCTTACAATAGTATCTGATACTTTATTTTCTTGTCACAAAATTAATTCTCTGCATTTAACCCAGTGGAGCAGTGGGCAGCCGCCGGGCAGCCGCCGGGCAGCGCCCGGAGACCAACTCCAGATGTTTATCAGTGTCTGGTCAATAGCACTGACTGGAGAACCTGACATGTTTTTATTATCTCTTAGTATCTTAAGTCATTTTAAGATACTAACTCATTTTGAGATGCTAATTTGTTATTTTGAGATGTTAAGTTATTATAATGACTATAAGGATCTTTTCTTTCAGCACAGTGGCAGAAATGGGCTTCCAAAGTTTTCACTCGTCCTGCAACATCCTTCTCCTTTTCTTCCTGTGGAGGTCTGTCTTGTACAAGACATTGACCAACTAAAACAAACATTATATTATAGTATGTTAAAAATAGACACCACAAGCTAAATTTAGTTCATCAGATTTTCTTTCTGCTTCTGCTGCTGATGGGTTTGTGTGGAGTGACTTCGCCCTCTAGTGGTTTCCTGCAGGACTGTCATGTTTTATACATGCAGTGACGTAAACAGAGGGGTTTTTATTATTGAAAAGAGTAATTGAATGTGGTGTCAGTGCTATTTCTTGGACTGACCACACACACACCAACCTTTTATGAGGATAAAGACTGAGCCAACAACAGCGCAGCACATGAAATACCAGCAAATTCCAACTGAAACAATCTCACCCCACGTCCACAATACCAAGAGTGAAATACTTAACACACAGTAGGGATATAAACCAGCTGAAACCACCTGTTTTAGCCAACCAGCGCCACCTACAGGCTTGCTACAGCTACTGCAAATCTGCCACTTAAAGGAATGATCTCTCCAACTGCAGTTTTTTTTTTTCCTTTATGGTTTCAACTTGAAATATATTATTAATTAATAATGCTATAATTTGCCTGTTGTGGGCAGCACAACACTGATATTTGATCGGTGTTAAGGCGACACATCCAGCAGATTTGAACAGCATTAGCATTGATTAGGGTCCTCGTCTGAAACTGAAGGGAATTATTTTTATTTCCAAATGAAGAGCATTACTGGCGGCCTTAATATTCTCGCAAACTCATGAAACTTGGCACTCATGTCAAATGTCATATGGGTGTCGCGAAATGGCTTCATAGTGCCCACTACAAAACTGAAAAAGAAATTAGACCTTGCCCTTGACTTCAACCTTCCTTGGATAGAACCCGCGCCGCGTTTGACCTTGAGGCACAACATTTTTAAAGGACATGAACATATCAAGACGCACAAAAAAAAAAAAAAAAAAAAAAAAAAAAAAAACACACCCGAAACTCAACTGGTCATCAGGCATTTTGATTTGAAAGCGCAATTTCAGCCCAGGGTTCGCTTTTTACAGGCTCCGTACTTTAACAAACTCCTCCGACACCGTTAATCCGATAGACTTAAAATTTTCGCAGTCCAATCTAAAGGCGCCGACTATGAAAAGTTGAGCTACTTTTGAGTTTACGTCCAAGGGCGTGTCCGTGGCCTGGCATTGAAAATTGGTAATTCTCCAAGAAACAGGAAGTTGTTGCTTAAATCTGTACCAAAGTCTGCGTATGATAGCGCAGCGCTGACTTAACGTGATGCATGCTGGACTTCACAAAAGTGAAGAATCCAACTTTCGCCGGCGCTGCAAAACGTCACCATGTCACATGACATTAAAACCTTGCGGGCAAGGCGGCTGCAGGCGCTGAGTCCTGCTGCACAAAGTCGGAACCACCTTTTGCTTGATCTCGCTGCATTTGTCTTTGCAAATGTCGCGAGATCAGTCATTGATCTCAGCTCACAGTAAAGCTAACGCAGGTAGAATGTGCGCCGTGTTTATACCCCGCCCCTGCAGTCACCTGCAGCTCACGTTAGACTAGTCATCTCGGACACACCTATTTACATGCCAATATTCACTCAATGTCATAACGCCACCTACTGGAAACAGGAAGTAAGCCCAATCATCATTTAATTCACATGAAGTTTTCACCGTGTGGTCCACGCAATCAAACTCATACACAACGTATAATATTCAGGTGTTCTCTAATGCAGCTCTGTAGCTCCGCAGCGGCCGCCGCATTCCACGAAGCGCAGCACGCCGTGAGGGCCTGTCCAACGCTGCTTGCAGCTTTAATCCAGCATTCCCTTTCTTATAGCTTTGTTTTGGTCTCCTCCAGCTCCTGAGGGAAAAATCTGTCTCTTTAGCTGCTAAATGCACCACTACGTTCACCGGCTAGTCTCTAACTGCGTCTGTCTGTTTGCTGCTGAGCAGGTCGCGTACAGTGACTTTATCCACTAAGAAAGAATGCAGCTGGGTGATCATTTTCAGTGATGTGTTATTAATGTAAACATATGCGTTGGATTGAAAACAAATAACAAACTAACTACTGTAATCAGTTTATTGGGAAAATGAAATATAATGAATGTTGTAAGTACACACTCACTAATCCAGCTCGCTACCAGAAGTCCATCTAGTTATAAACATACGTACCATTTTTGTCTTAGAAACTATTATAAAAGGTTAAGGGAATGTTTTTCATACAGACTGTACATAAACAGAAAACAGGACTGTGGATTTGTACATTATAAAAACTACAGGACATCTCGGCTGAAAGTTAAAATTGTACACAAATGAATTTCAAAATGATTTTTCTGTATAAACAAAATTTTGTTTCCAAGACGGATCTCCCCAAAAATATTTCTTCTGCTCCAAAAATCTCCCCGCCGTTTACTCAAATTCTAAAGTTCACATATTTTAAAAGTGGTTAAAAGAAACATCTCACTCTTCAAACACCTTTTGTTTTAGGTTAAAGCTACCTTTAAAAAACAAAAATCATGTTTTTGTCTTTAAAGACAGTTGGGAGTGATACTTTTAGAAAACAAGTATCCTAAATGTTCCTCTTTAGTATCTCATTATTTCTATTATTTTCAGAAAATTCTAAATTAAATCCACATGAAAAAAAAAAAAAAAAGACAAGAAAACAACTGACTTTTAAAAATTCAAGGAGAGACCAGCTACAAAATAAAACATTGGCAGTATTTTTGGAGATTTAAATTCACACAAATTATGACTAAAATTATATACAAAAGTACTGAAAAACATTTCACAATAACTCAAGACGCTGGTGTTTAAAAAAATTAAAAAACAAACACACCACACGAGGTGGATTTGTCCAAATCAGTTGTCGTGCAGAATCTCCCAAACTAAGCTTCTGTCACAGACAATAAACATGATTTCTCTTCAGATTTTTTAGGGAAACTAAAACCACAACAACTTTTTCCTTTCTCCTCATCCGTCATTTCTTACTTTCCAAAAAAAGAAAAGTTCCTCAGCGTCGCTCTCTCTGATCCAAAAAGTCTCTATATAAAGTGCTCCAAAAGAAACTGGACCAACAGAAGCAAAAGGTGGAGGTGCCTCAAAAGAAGAAGAGGAGTTTAACAAAATATAAAAGCAAACACGCATTATTTTACATTTGAACAAAACGTTTCACCAAGTACAAGGTGTTGAGGGGGGGAAAATGCATTATTTCACGATTTCACTCTTTTTCTTTCCGTGTTTCTGCAGTTCAACCAGGTCACTTCCTCCGACGAGCGTCAGTACTTTGGCACTTTGGTGTAATCCTCCGTGTGAATGTTCCTGCACATGCAGATGGACAGGATCATCCCCAGCAGCTGGAGAACAAAACATACAAACATTTTACATCTTCAAAACACATTTTATCTTCTACATCTGCGGAGCCTGAGGGGTCTGGAGGAGGCCAGCTGACCTTTAGTTATTTCAACTACAGTAAATTGTTGTGACAAAACTGTTTTGATTCTTTTAATTGCACAGACTGAAGGAATATTTTTAAGTCGAGAAATGGAAACATATTGGGACTTTGTCTTCGTTTGGGAGTCACCAGTTATTTTTCATCTTGTTTCCGTAAAAAAAGAAAGAATCTAACCGACCTCATGTCCATATTGACACAAGATTAAACATATATATGCATGTATGCGTGATGTAGGCAGCTTAGAAGTAGCCTAAGAGAGTGACCGGTGGGCTTTAAGATCCTTCTATAAAAACCAGACCAGGCGTCTTCCCGAGATCAGAACGTGTCGCCACAACAGGCCAGTAAAAGGGGCCGGTATCCAGGTATTGGGACTCTCTTGGCTTTTAACAGACGTTTTTACTGTAACAGGCAATCTTTACGAACGATGGCGCTGCTGTACCTCGACAAAAGCCACTCCGAGGCAGATTCCCAGGACGACCCCGATGTTGGTGAGGAGCCAGCTCTCCACGCTGGCAGCACAACCCTGAAAATAAACACAGGTAGATGAATCGCACTGAACAGAGGAACGAACGAGGAGCGCAGCCAGGTAAAGAGCAAACAGATGAGAATATGTTTACCTCATCGTAAATGGGCCAGTCTGGCGTCTGAGCCTCACAGAAGCCGGTGTCGGAGAAGTTGCCCGTGGCGAGCGAGATGTTCTGGCAGGAGCAAGGAAACAGCAGCTGGGAACTGTTGGTGATGACCATGTTACCAGTCCAGTCCGTGTGGCCGCTCCAGCCGCAGCACGCCATCTGCAGACGCACAGGTGAGACAGACAGGGTTATCAGCAGCGTGTCTGGGTCGGAGAACGGAGGAAGTTTGATTTGAGCGGATCTTCAGACTGAACGGACACGCCTCGTCAGATATTACAGATTCATTCTGGAAGCTGAAAAATTTGACTTTGGTCTTTACAGCAAGTTTCCTGACAGACGGGGAGATTGAGAGTTTGGCAGGAAGTGTCTGAATGACTGATCAGATAATGAGAGTGAGATTGAACAGAGTGAAGGAAGTGGTCTTAAATCTCGCGTCTGAGTGATTTGCAGGAACCTCCGTCCACCTGTAAACGCGCAGGTGGGTCCAGAGTATAACTGGATCAAAGCGGCCTGTGGACAGACATGTCCTGGTTTCTCTGTAGTGTCTGAAGGTTTCTGGAGTTTCAGTGGACCCAAAGATTGCTGTGGACCCGAGTACAGACTAGCTAGAGAGAATACATTAAGTGAACTTCTGTTTATTCTCTTTTCAAAATAATTGTAACTCAATTATTTGCTCAACCTCTCAGCCTGTTTTTATTTTCCATTTAACTCTTTTAACCCTGATTGTAACACTGCACTGTTTCCCTATGTTGCTTTTATACTTTTTTTAGATTTCCCCGTTGCTTTTATGTTTTTGAATTACCTTGTTGTTGAAATGTGCTATGCAAATAAACTTGCCTTGTTAATTAGAAGAGCAGTTTGTCGAGGCCTGTGTGGTACAGTAGTGATGACGTGTAGGTCACATTTGAATTTGCTGTTGTGGACATAAAGAGAATGAATCTGACCAAACTTCCAAACTCACATTCCTCTGGATGAAGTCCCAGGCCTGCTCTGCGGTGGAGCTGTTGCCGTGGTAGTTGTCCAGCACCTTGGTGACGATCTTGGACATCTCTTCATTCAACTGAAAGAAAACAGTGCAGATAGAGATTCAGCAACGTTTGAGCTAGCTGGTTTAGCCTGAGGTGAAGACACGTTTGCTTCGGTTTAAACTTTTTATATTCAGTTTTTCCCCCCCTGGATGTTTATGTTCCGTGTTGGAAAGAAGCTGTGTGCTGTGCTTTGTTGTTTTTTTCCCCCCTGTGAAGATTTGGAGTTTTGTAAGGCTTGTTTTATGACAGAATAAAACCAAAGCACCTGTAGCTGCAGGACAGTTATTAGAAGGTCTGGAGGAAGCGGTTAGCATACACACAGCTAGCTACAGCAAGTCTGTGTCAAGTTCATTAGCTCTTTGGGGCGAGTAAACATCAAAGTCACTGTAGCGCCCAAATCCAGGGGGAAACATTTAATTTACCATCAGTGATACGAGTGAAAAAAATACGAGTTAGATGAGAAGATCGAGACCGCCCTCCTTTCGGTGCATTGAATATGCAGCCTGTTAGCTGAGCTTAGCATAAAGACTGTAATCAGATGGAAACAGGTAGCCTGGCTCTGTCTAAAGCTCAGTTAATTGTTAGTTAAAGTTAATTCATACAAAAACACAACGCGTTTGGACTAAGCTTATCTTGTGTCATTGCTAGTTTCCCACTGATGCAGTTGTCATTTTTATGGCCAGCGCCCACGTTGTTTAAACAGCAAATGCACTTGCGCCCATCATCGCGTTTGTTAAGCGTCCTTGGGTTTGTGAAAGGCGCAATATAAATCAAAGTTATTATTGTTTCACGTTTATAACTACAGTTTTTCTGCTCTTGCTGCTTAACTGTCCCGCGCTATTTGCTGAGACTTTACTGCGCACATGGAAACATTTAAAATGACTGACAGCAGCCAATTATACTGACAGCAGCCAATTATACCTTACTCCAGAAAAATTATATTCATTCAAATCTAGCCTGTCAGAA